TTTTTTTTTTTTTTTTTTGGTGAAAATATACATAGTGATGATGTTCTTTGCTTCATGAGGAAAAGTATTGTATGACATTTTTCCTTCAGTGCTTATGTTTCCCATAAGTTAGTATGCGGAATATATCGTGCATTTCTATTCCTTATAAAAGAAAATTGGGTTTGGAGGTTGTTTGCGTCTTTGTTTTAAGCACACCACAAAACAAATCATCGTCAACACTGTCTTTTTGAGGTATAGAATATATCTTAAATCAACAACTATTTTTTATATAGTACCAGTCTTAAGAAACTAAACTGGTTATCTACCTAGGGTAAATGGTATTTCATTTAACAGCTGAAATCGGATTAAATTATATAGGAATGCATTCCTAGAGATTATCACTTTAATATTCCTTATTTTCAAAAAGTATTTATGCTATTTTTAAATGCGTTCTTCCCAAGTATATTGATCTTTGTGTCTCAAGTTTAAACCTATATTCCAGTTTTCCCCATCTAGTTGCTTTGTTCCTGGACCAGATCATAACTCCAGCTCTGATTTCAATCAACAAATAATTTACATTCCTACCATAGTGTAGGCAGCAGAAGAAAAAAACCTAACCCACTGCCGTGAAGTCAGTTCCAACTGATAGCGACCCTGCAGCACAAAGTAGAACTGCCCCGTAGGGTTTCCAGGACTGGTGTTTAAGGAAACAGACTGCCACATCTTTCTCCTAAGGAGCAGCTGGTGGGTTCAGACTGCCATCCTGATTAGCTGCTGAGCACTTACCCACTGTACCACCAGGGCTCCTGTATTTTAGGCACGTAAGACTGGATATTCTAACCCTTACACTTTTCAGTTAAGCTGATAAGATAAACTGCTTTTTTGGTAATTAGATCTTTAGAAGCATTTATATGTAAATTTTACTTGTTTTCTCCCAACCTTTATTTCTACCTGTATAAATGTAGCTCAGTTTTAATGCCACTTCCACTTCTTTGGGAGCCCTGGTGGCACAGTGGTTAAGCCCGAGGCTGCTGACTGAAAGGTCGGCAGTTTGAACCCACCAGCCACTCCACAGGAGAAAGATGTAGTAGTATGCTTCCATAAAGATTTACAGCCTCCAAAACCCTGTAGGGCAGTTCACTATGAGTCAGAATCGACTCAGCAGCAGTGAATTTTTTGTTTTTTCCACTTCTTTGTGTATAGCTTGGTGTGTTGCTGACATGTAACATTAAAGAAAGATTACTGGTTGGGTATGACAGTTGGAAGGATGGATTTAGGAACAACAAGAATATAAGAAAAAAAAAGCAAGGTATACCACTCTGTGTAACTGATGTTTAGTGAGGGTGGGATAGTCTTAAATTTAATGCTAGATCAGAAATCCGTAACTGCTAGTGTCACTCTCCTCCCCGCACCCTACCCCAAAAAAGAATGTTTTCTGATGTCCAGGGCCATGTTTGATGCTATTGTATACACTTTGTCACTTAAGTGACAGTCTTACCCAAGGTGGCAGAGCAGCAATTTCAAAACCTGTTTCTCTGACCTGGCCAAAGTTCGTATTTTTTGCCCTATTTGCACTGTCTGAATGAAAACTTCCCTTTGAGCCCAGCCATACAACAATGAAATGTTGTCTACCTTCAACCCAGGGGAAGGGCTGGTTTAATAATGTAATGTCCTTAATAATAATGTAGATGGATTAAGAAGGGCCTGAATGAGGGTAGAAGTAATAGAATAAAGAAGGTACATAAGACATTTCAGAAACATCCATGCTTGTTGGTTGGATAATAAGAACTTTTCAAAACAATCATTGAGATTCAGTAGTCTTCAGAGATAAAAACAAAAAATGAATAGATTTGATCTTAATAAGAGACAGATCTAGCAAGAAAGCTGACATCGTATGTCCACATTACAGACCTAGGAGAAGGAACCAGTTCCTTTTTTTTTTTTTTTTTTTTGATAGCTAAATTATTTGCTAGTACATAAACCAAACCAAACCTGTTGCTGTCAAGTAAATTCCAACTCATAGTGACCCTGTAGAACAGAGTAGAACTGTCCCATGCGGTTTCCAGGGAGTGGCTGGTGGATTGGAACTGCCAGCCTTTTGGTTAGCAGCCTGAGCTCTTAACCACTGTACCACTTGGGCTCCTTTCTAGTACATACTTACCTTAGTCTATAGCTATGGCGATAATAAAAATATGATTACTTTATTCATAACTATCCTAAGCAATACTGTTTACTATTAAATTATGATGCACAAAAATGATATGTAGCGTTTTCTTTCTTTGGTCAGCGGTTCCACCCTTCTAACCTACTTTATGTAATTCAAACATCGTTCTAAAGCAATCTTTTTTGCCTTAAAACACTCAGTTCACCAGAGATTGCAGGATCAAGTCCAAACACCTCATGATGTGTAAAGCCCGTAATCTGGATCCTGCTTCACCTCTCAAAGTTTTATGAGCATATGGACATCACTGAAGTTAGAATGACTTGAGTACGAATACCTGCTCTTCCATTTCTGGTGCGACTTTAGTTCATTTACTTTCTGGGCGTGTGTTTCATAATCCATAGAATAGGTACTAACTACTTCATCATAGTAGTATTGGGATTAAACGAGATACAAGAGCTCCAGGAGCAATTGTTGACTTGTAGTAAATGCAACTGGTTTACTTCTTTCTCTCTAGAAAATGAGACATTCCCTTTTCTTTGTTGCTGTCATATTCATGTTCCTCTATTCCATTAGTTTGTGAGCTCTTGATATTCACATCTTGTCTTTTGTAGCTAAAGTGCACAGTTCTTGGCATATAATAGGCACTCAGTTTTGTTGCACAAGTTACAAAGTTAATAGATAATCTGCTTTGATGCCAAGTGTCTGAAAATTCTGCCATAATGTATGTTTATGATAATAATAGTAAGTCCATTGAATATAAAATACAATGACAGAATTCACTGGTTGGTTCTGTATTATGTTATGAAGCTTTTTTTTTTTGTCCCCACTTTTTCTCTTAACACATATTTTGCCAATGTCATCATCTCTCAAATCTGGTTTTAGTCCATTGTGTTCCTCTTCACTCAAATTTTTATACCTGTCATTGTATGAACTAGAAGGGCTAATCCCTGCAGTATTAATCTACAGTCTGGTTTGGGAATTAAACCATGTGGAAAGGTAACCAAGGTACTACAGGCATTCAGCCAGGAACCTCAATTTATGGATAACGTGTGTTACAGACTAAAATTTTTGTGCTAGGAGGCAAAAGTATTTGGATTTTAATAGGGAAGGGGTGGGAGCAGGGGAAGCACAGCAGATTTGCAGTCAGCATGGCTTTATGTGCAAAGGCATAGAACAGAAATAGAGAAAATGTGTTTTATGCATAAGAAGCTAGTTTGACTAAGCTTATATGAAGTATATTGAGAGATGAGACTGGAAAAGAAGGTGAATTGGACTGGATCTTTTTTTTTTTTTTTTTTTTTTAATGTCCTTTGAGGTGTAGCTGAGGCCATTTCCCCCCACCACTCCCTGTTATATATGAGGAAACAGTCCCAAAAAGGGAAATGACTGACTTCAGTCTCACAGTAATGAGTAACAGCTCAGACTAGAACCTAGGTATTAATATCCTAACTCTAAATTGAAAATTGGATGATTAATAAAGAGTCTGTGGTGTTACCAGGTTATAAATCTATCATTCCCAGTCTTCCTTATCTCAGCTTTAGATGGAATTAGGCCAACTTTTTTTTTCCCCCCATCATTTTTTTCTTCCTGGTTGTACATAGAAAGAGAGGGAGAAAACGAGCCTGAGCTTCAGTGTCAGGCTTTTCCTTTCCCAGTTACGCTTTGCCTCTTACAGGCTGCATGATCTTGATTGATTACTTCACCTCTGTTTCCTCATCTGTAAATTGTTTTGTGGTGTTCTGTGAGTCAATTCCAACTTGTAGCGACCCAACGTGACAGAGTAGAAGTACCCACAGGGTTTCCTAGGCTGTAATCTTTACAGGCGCAGATTGCTTCTGAGGAGCAGCTGGTGGATTTGAACTGCCAGCCTTTCGTTTAGCAACCAAGCGCTTGACCATTGCACCACCAGGGCTTCTTGTAAATTGTTTAACATCTGCAAATGTGTGGCTTAGTGCCTGACAGCATTAGATGTTGGATAATCGATAGCTGTTGTTATCAATAAATATTTACTTAGAGTTCTGGTAATTTAAGTTTTATGCTGAGAATCCATGTAGTACAGACAATATGTCTGTACCTGTGTCTGTGGCAAAAGCTGCAAATTGTAAAAAAAAAAAAAAAATTTGCTGCTACATCAGGAAGTATATCTTGACAACTGATTTCCTTTTTAAAATTGTAGGCCCCAAAAGAGATCTTATTAAAATGCTTCAATTTTCAGATTAGTGTTTTTGTTCATTAGTGTTTTGTTCCTCTTAAATTTGATGTGCCCGTGCAAAATACATATTTTATGGCTTTAGGACAATGTATGCATATCATATCAAATTTTTGTAATATGTATATGCTTTTCTGTCCTTTTGCTACCAAGACTTCAGTGTTAAACTGAATGCTGTTTGGCCACATGTATATCTACTGCTGTTAGAGAGTTGTAACTGTGACTTGTAAACAATCATTATAGAGACAGTTCTGTTTATAATTCCCAGGTAGCTTTCTTTTTTTAGTGTTTCAGCAGAAATTAACTTTATATAAGCCCAGATTAACTGTATCAATATACCTACAAGGCAAAAATCTATGCTTATTGACTTTTGAACCTTCTAAAGGGCTCCAATCAGAGGTGTCATTATTACCCAATTACAGTGATGTTTCAACTAGGTAGCTTTCATATTCTCACCATTTCACAGTATGCATTTTAGAATTATTTCTCTGGTTTTTCATGTCCCATCCATTTATAAGTCATTAAGCATGCCTATTAGAAAGCAGAAGAAGCTTATTCTTATGTAACCTCCAAATAAGCTATGACACTGAATTTTAAGAGTGTGTTGTTATTGACATTTTTCCATGTTTTTTGTGGTTTTTTGTTTGGTTGGTTTTTATGTAGAATTCCGTACGTGGCTAGTTTTGGGGGAAGTTTTTTAGAATTAACATTTATTGCCTGAGCAAATTTTTAGACTATATATTCTGATCACTTTATCTCTGTCAACTTTGTTGGTGTGTGCTGTCAGCTCATAGTGGCCCTATAAGACAGAACTGCCCATAGGGTTTCCTAGGGTGAAATCTTTACGGGAGCAGGTCACCAGGTCTTCCACAGAGCCACTGTTAGGTTCTAACTGCCGACCTTTCTGTTAGCTAAGCGTGTAACCATTGTGCCACCAAGGCTCCTTCTGATAACTTTAAGAAATAGCAAAAATAAAATTTAATTTAGTGTATTTAAATTAGAAAATCTTTTTTTTTAATTGTTGTAGTTTAAATTAAGTTTACATTTCAAGTTAGTCTCGCATACAAAAATTTATACATACATTGTTACGTGACCCTAATTGCTCTCCCCGTACTGCGACAGCACACTTCTCCTCTCCAGCCCTGATTCCCCGTGTCACTTCAGCCAGCTCCTAACCCTCTGTGTCTCACCTCCGGACATAAGCTGCCCGTTTAGTCTCTTGTATCTACTTGAGTTAAGAGGCACACTCCTCACGAGTATCACTTTATGTCCCACAGTCCAGTCCAATCCCTGTCTGAAGAGTTGGCCTCAGAAATTGTTTTACTTCTGGACTGATAGAGAATCCGGGGGCCATGCTTTCTGGGGTTCCTCCAGTCTCAGACCATTAAGTCTGGTCTTCTTACTGGAATTTGAATTCTGTACCCCACCTTTCTCCCACTCCATCAGGGACTCTGTTGCGTTCCCTGTCAGGGCGTAAATTAGAAAATCTGTTATCCCCATCTCTAGCCCATGAGCCTATCTCTGAACTTTGTTGGTACTTAATATGGTAGCTTTTCTAGTTTACAAAAGAACCCTCTGTCACTGAAATTATAATGCCTGTCTGAAACTAAAGCACAAATTTCAAGCTGTTTTTTTAATAAGATTCGTACTTTTAAAAAATAAACGATGTCTAAACTTTCATAGAGTCACTGTGAGTAGTAATCAACTTGATGGCAACAGGTATAAACTGTTTCAGCATGTAAGATGTCACCAAATATGGTACTAGATGCGCTAAATATTGGTCTGATAGCTTATCCTTTTTGCTGAAGGTTGTTATGCTACCTTAAAGAATAAGCCATCCAAAGAACATTTTAGAAAACAAAGTTTGAATATAACAAGTGTCTAGTTTTGTGTACACTTTGTATTTGTACTGTTCATATGCTTAAAACTGATTTTTTTTAGTGACTATAATATTTTAGGTACCTGAATTCATAATACTTAAGTATCTATAGATAGCTGAAGGTCAGAACAAGGAGCCCCGGTGGCACAGTGGTTGAGTGCTTGTCTGCTAACAGAAAGGTCAGCAGTTCGAACGCACCAGCTGCTCTGCAGGAAAAAGATGTGGCAATATGTTTCCATAAAGATTTACAGCCTTTGAAACCAGGTAGGGCAGTTCTGCTCTGTCCTGTACGGTCGCTGTTAGTTGGAATCTACTCGATGGCGGTGAGTTTGGTTTTGAGTATACTGAGTGTATGTCAGTTGGACACTTGCATTGTTTTTGCCTTTATACTCTAGCTTACAGAAACTTAGTTATATGTGATAGAAAGACCTCTGATACAGTCGTTTGTTTACAAATGAGGGAATTGAGGTTCATCGAGATAACTCAGATTTAAATGAAATACGTACTGTATTTTCCTAGCTGTGATCAAATTTCATCTTTTTTCCATTTTTGTATGAATCCAGTCACTCAGGCTATGTTTGTATTAAATGTTATATATTTTTGCTTTCAATACTTTTATGTATCCCGTGTCTTGCTTTCCTCAGAGACCCTTAACACTGTCCATACCTGACTTAGAGTAGGCACCTAATATTTAGTTTCCATTCTTACACCTTCCCTTCTTTCCACCCCTATATAACATCTTTTTACAAACTTTTTCCCTGATTAACTTTGCATCTTCTATATATTATTATAACAGCCCTTCTGCAAATACATGTTCTAAGTAGATTGTTATCCCTACCCCTAGACGCAAGAGTTTGTTTATAACTGATCAATTAAACTTTGGTACTGTAGGAAGCCCTCAGCCTCTGTAAAGAGAGGAAGTAAAGTAGCCTCAACTTGTACTTGGGTAGTAGACTACTTTCAGATTCAGCTTTAAGTCCAAATAACCTTCTCTGAAATTAAAAACAAAATAGAAAATATATCGAAGAAAGTCAGTCATAGGTTTTTGCCATGAAAATCAAAATGATTGTGACATCTTATAGCTGTTTTTGTGTCTCTCTCTCTTCCTTTGTTCTTTAATAAGCAAATGCCAAATAGAAATATTTTTCATCAGCTCAGTGGGAATTAATCAAATTATATTCAAGGATAGGGACTACACTGAATGTAGTTTAATTAGAGGCCTAGATCAAAGTGTAATAGTTCTGTGTTTTGTTTTTAAAGGTT